GCTGAACCCAAATCTGACGCAGGTTCAGGGAGCCCTCCCACCTTCCCGCCATACCTTGCTCGGCCCTGTTTTCTCCTCCTGGAAGATGAGGGGCACTAACTGACATCAGAGGCCCAAAAAGCCCTGAGTTCTGAGCAAGGGGGGCCACAAGTTGATGAGGCCATTCTGGGGGAGCAAGTCTCCCGCAAACGGCCGCCTCTCCACCGCCTCAGCATGCAGCCAGCCTAGCGAGGAGGAGCTGGAGTTCGAATGGCACGTTACGGGTTTGTAGCTTCTTCTACTTGGTTACCAAAACAACACTCTTGTCCATATACTTCCTCCCCTACCCGGTTTAGACCAAGATGTGTGGGGTAGATAGTGTGGAGGGGTGGTTTCTATAAGTGGAGGCCTCCTGTGCCCAACCTGGCCCTCACCACACAAAATTCTCAGTGCGAGCTACAGTTCCTACTGTTGACTCACAGGACCCACCTGCTACCCAACGCCCCCAGGCCACCGTGGGGTCCTATACAACCACACCCTCCCTGGACCTGAATCTGCTGGGTGTGAACAACAAACCAGGCCCTGTGCTAAGAACATAAAAGTGAGCAAGAGTAGATACAGGCTGTCCGCTCAGGGAACTCCCAGGTGGATGAAGGAGAGATCTGTCAATTGAGCAACCAACTGTTCAACTACACAAGAAACACCCTTAGGAAAAGTGGTAATGATTAACAACTGCACCAAACATCTCCACAGAAACTATGTGCCAGGCACAGTTCTAGGCACACTGTCAGGGAGTAACTTCCCCCATCCTCACAACTCTCAAGAGGGAGATACTATCATTGCCATTTTACAGATGAGCAGACTGACGGCCTAAGAGTGACACGCCCCCTCAGCCTCACATGTAGAAAGTTACAGAGCTGGGGACCAGCAGGTGGCGTGGTGTGGCCACTCCCACATGGCTGCTCATGGTTCGAGTCCCGGACCTAGTGGCTTGCTTTCCCACTTTCTCCTTCTCTCCTGTTTCTCTCTGTCCAAATTAAATGAATGAATAAATAAAATTGAATAAATAATTCTTTAAAAAGAAATAGATAAAGAAGGATAGAAAGAAAGAAAGAGAAAAAAAGAAGAGAAACAGAGCTGAGTGTTAAAGCCAGGTACTCTGGCTCAGAGGCCATGCTCTTAGGTATTAAGTTGCATCTGTCCCCCTCTCCCACAAGAGGAGCTGAAGAATGTTCAGTACAGTGGTAAGAGTGTTTAATCAAGAGGGAGGGCAGGGGCTGGCCTGTGGCCTACTGGTTAAAAGAAACAGGGAGCTGGCAGGTGGCATGGTGGTTAGGAGAATTGGACTCCCACATGGCTGACCACAGTCCGAGCCTGGATCCAGTAGCTTGCTTTCTTACTTTCTCTCTGTCCCTCTCTGTTCAAATGAAAACAAATAGATAAAATAAAAATAAAGTTCAATAAAATAATTCTTTTTAAAAAGGGAGAGAAAAGGACCAGCAGTTAGAGTCATGGCTATGTCGCTGGACGTAGTCGACCGTGGTTCGCATCCCGGACCCGGTGACTTAAAACTCACGCCAGGCACATGTGCGTTTGTGCCCAAGATCCCGAGAGGAGAATGGAGGAGAAGGGATTGTGGTGTGACCATCCC